ATACATATACATCTACATCTACAAATACATATACATATATATAAATACATATACATATACTGATTCCCTACCTATGCTCTGCCTAGAGGGTTCTTACCGTGTGAGCTTAAGGGGCCGGGCAGTGAAATCGCCCCGGGCGGTTCCCCCAGGATCCGCCCCGTGGTTCCCCCAGTCCCCTGGGAGCTTTAGCTTTAGCTTTTAGCTTTAGCTTTAGCTTTAGCTTAGCTTTAGCTTAGCTTTAGCTTAGCTTTAGCTTAGCTTTAGCTTAGCTTTAGCTTAGCTTTAGCTTAGCTTTAGCTTAGCTTTAGCTTAGCTCTGCCTTAGCTTTACCTTAGCTTAGGTTAGCGTTAGCTTAGCTTTAGCTTAGCTTTAGCTTAGCTTTAGCTTAGCTTTACCTTGGCGTTACTTTAGCTTTAGCTTTGCTGTTGTTTAGCTTTAGCTTAGCTTCAGGTTAGCTTTAGCTTAGCTTCAGTTTATAGTTAGCTTAGCTTTAGCTTAGCTTTAGCTTAGCTTTAGCTTAGGTTTAGCTTAGCTTTAGTTTAGATGTAGCTTATATTTAGCTTTGTTTTAGCTTAGCTTTAGCTTAGCTTTAGCTTAGTGTTACCTTAGATTTAGCTTAGCTGTACCTTAACTTTACCTTAGCTTAGGTTAGCTTTAGCGTAGCTTTGCCTTAGCTTTACCTTAGCTTTACCTTAGCTTTAGTATTGATTTAGCTTAGCTTTAGCTTAGCTTCAGGTTAGCTTTAGCTTAGCTTAAGCTTAGCTTTAGCTTAGCTTTATTTTAGCTTCAGCTTAGCTTTAGCTTAGCTTCAGCTTAGCTTTAGCTTAGCTTTAGCTCAGCTTTACAGTTACTACTAATGCTGCTTTCCTAGGGGCTCCAACTCCTAGGTAGGGTCGCACTGGGATACTAATTACGCATACAAATATGAATACACGTAAACACATACACATACATATATATTTATGTATGTAGGTATACATATGCATATACACATGCGAATACAAATACATGTACGTATACATAAAGATATACACATGCACATACAAATACATATACATCTGCATAGATATGTACATAAACATTTACATATACATGTACATATATGTTTATGTATATATACATACATACATACATATGTATATATGCATTTACATGTACATTTACGTATACATATACACATAGATAAACATATATACATATACATATGCATATGCATATGCATATACATATACATAAACATAAACATATACAAAACATATACATACACATATATATATATATGCATATACATATACATATACATATGCATATGCATATAGATATACGTATGCATATATATATATATATATATATATATATGTATATATATATACAAACATACACATATGCATACACCTGCACATGCATATACATATGCATACACATATATACATATGCATGCACATACACATATGCACATACATATGCATACACATGCACATGCACATGCACATACACATACACATACACATATACGTATACAGACAGTCACAGACAGACAGACAGACAGACAGACAGACAGACAGACAAATGTGTACATATATATATATGATATACATTAAGTACAGTATACATACAACGGCGCACCGGGCCCGGGGGCCCAGGGCCGGAACCTCGACCACAAATGTGGGCCCCGGGGCCCTGACCCGCCTCTGGGAGGCCTAAAATAGCCCCGGGGAGCCCTCAAACAGCAATCCCGGCGGCCCCAGACGGTCTCGAGACACCCCCAAGACTCCGTCCAAGGGTCTCTGGCGACGCACGATGCCGTTTAAACTGCCCCGGAGGCCCCCAAGACGCCCCGAGAGGCCTTTCGGATGCCGCCCAAGAGCTCCCCGAGAGGACAAAATCGTTGATTTTCATATATTTTTCCCATGTGTTTCGGCATTCTCGTTGTTTCGTGTTTCCGGCGCTACAGCACCGCCCAGGAGGCTCCCAAAATCGCTGCCAGACGGCCCAAGAGGCCCCCAAGAGGGTCCCAAGACAGCCCAAGAGAGCCCCGAGACGGCCCCAGAGCCGCCCAAGACGGCGCAAGAGGGTCCCAAGAAGGCGCCAAGAGGGGCCCAAGAGAGGGAACGCGAACTGAAAAATCAAGCTCTCCGCCCCAAGATGCCCCCAAGAGGCCCCAAGAGGCCCCCAGGACGCTCCCAAGAGGTCCCACGAGGTCCCCCCAAAAGGCCGCACGATGCGTGTTAAACTGCCCCAGAGGCCCCCAAGATGCCCCAGGAGGCCTGTAGGATGCCGCCCAAGAGCGCCCCGAGAGGGCAGAATCGTTGATTTTCAATCGTTTTCAATGTTTTTTGTTGCATTTTCGCTGATTCGTGCTTCCGGCGCTAAAGCACCGCCCAAGAGGCCCCCAAAACCGCTCCAAGACAGCCCAAGAGGCCCCCAGGACGGCCCGAGAGAGCCCCGAGACGGCCCCAGAGCCGCCCAAGACGGCGCAACAGGGTCCCAAGAAGGCCCCAAGAGGAACGCGAACTAAAAAATCAAGCTCTCCGCCCCAAGATGCCCCCAAGAGGCCCCCAAGAGGCCCTAAGAGTTCCCAGGGAAGCCCCCACGAGGCCCCCAAGAGGCCGCACGATGCGTGTTAAACTGCCCCAGAGGCCCCCAAGATGCCCCGAGAGGCCTTTAGGATGCCGCCCAAGAGCGCCCCGAGAGGGCAAAATCGTTGATGTTCATGTGTTTTTCAATGTTTTTGTGCATTCTCGTTGTTCCCCACATGCTTCGTGAGGTTATGGTTTTCTTCCTTGCCGCGCCGCACCCGCGACACTCACACCTCACCTCTCTCTCCTTCTCGCACAGCGCAGCACAGCACAGCACAGCACAGCACAGCACAGCTCAACGCAGCACAGCACAGCACAGCACAGCGCAGCACAGCACAGCACAGCACAGCTCAGCACAGCTCAGCTCAGCTCGGCACCGCACAGCACATCACAGCACAGGCTCCCAAGGCGTGGCAGGCGTGGCATTTCCTCGACACAGGGGGTGCGCTGGGGGTGGGGGCCCTATGCGTTGCAGGTTCCCAGGGCGTGGCAGGCGTGGCATTTCCTCGACGCCACAGGGGGTGCGCTGGGGGGGGGGCCCTATGCGTTGCAGCCAACGCATAGGAGGAGGAGGAGGAGGAGGAGGAGGAGGATGAGGAGAGGAGGAGGAGGAGGAGGAGGAGACGGGAGGTGGGGCAGCAGCAGCGGCAGCAGCAGCAGCAGCTGCAGCAGACGCAGCAGCAGCAGCAGGGGGTGCGCTGGGGGTGGGGCCCTATCGTTGCAGCCAACGCATAGGAGGAGGAGAGGAGGGGAGGAGGAGGAGGAGGAGGAGGAGGAGGAGGAAGAGGAGGAAGAGGAGGAGGAGGAGGGAGGACGGGGAGGTAGGGCAGCAGCAGCAGCGGCAGCAGCAGCAGCAGCTGCAGCAGCAGACGCAGCAGCAAAAGCAGCAGCAGCAGGGGGTGCGCAGACCATGGAGTGGGGGGGGGGGGGCCTATGCGTTGCACGCCAACCATAGTAGGAGGTAGAGGAGGAGGAGGAGGAGGAGGAGGAAAAGGAGGAGGAGAGGAGGAGGAGGAGGAGGAGGAGGGGAGGAGGAGGAGGACGGGGCGGGGAGGTGGGGCAGCAGCAGCGGCAGCAGCAGCAGCAGCAGCAGCAGCAGCAGCTGCAGCAGCAGACGCAGCAGCAGCAGCAGCAGCAGAAGCAGCAGCAGCAGAAGCAGCAGCAGGAGGAGGACACCGAGGAGGAGAAGGAGGAGCAGCAGCAGAAGCACCGATGGTACACATGGGAAATAAAATAGGTATGTGGGGTTCCTCGGTAGCGTAATTTCGTGTTTCTGGCGCTAAAACACCGCCCAAAAGGCGCCCAAAGCCGCTCCAAGACGGCCCAAAAGGCCCCCAAGAGGGCCCCAAGACGGCCCAAGAGAGCCCCGAGACGGCCCCAGAGCCGCCCAGGACTGCGCAAGAGGGTCCCAAGAAGGCCCCAAGAGGGGCCCAAGAGAGGGAACGCGAACTGAAAACCAAGCTCTCCGCCCCAAGATGCCCCCAAGAGGCCCCAAGAGGCCCCGGAGAAGCCCCCAAGAGGCCCCAAGAGGCCCCCAAGAGGGCCCCAGAGGCCCTCAAGAAGACCCCAAGACGGCCCAAGAAAGCAAGAAAGCGCAAGAGGGTCCCAAGAAGGCCCCAAGAGGGGCACAAAAGAGGGAACGCGAACTGAAAAGTCAAGCTCCCCGCCCCAAGATGACCCCAAGAGGCCCTAAGAGGCCCCCGGGAAGCCCCAAGAGGCCCCCAAGAGGCCCCAAGAGGCCCCGAAGAAGCCCAAAAGAGGCTCCAGGAGGCCCCAAGACGGCACCCAAAAAGCTTCAAAACTCGTTTTAAGAGGCCCCCGAAAACATGCCAAGAAGGTCCCATGACGACTTCAAGAAGCAGTCCAGGATGCTCCGAGGAGGCCCCAAGAGGCCCCCAAGAAAGCCCAAGAGGCCCCCAAGCGGCCTCAAGGGGCATCCAGGAGGCCAGAAAGAGGCCCCCAAGAGCCCAGCGGTCCAGGCGGGGACCGAACGAACATTTCCAGCCGTGGGCTCTGGGAAGCCCAACAGGAAGCCCTAAAAGTTCGATCATCCAGCCTAGCTAGAACTTGAGCGCGCGCGAAGCGCGCGCGATGGTTCTAGTGTATATATGTACGCATATATACGTTTTATATGTATTTATGTATAAACATGTATTGTTGCTACCGTTCTGAACCGCTCGATGCTACTTCGGAAGCACTCGCTGGCCGACGAGGCATTGTCGGCGGGCCGCGGCTAAAACATGATTCCCGAGGAGCTCTGCCAGGGGCAACGCGGAGGAGCCGCCGAGCAAGCTTTAGGTCGGCCATGTCCTCCGACAGGTGGTTTTTGGGACAGGCCCGACTTAACGCAAGCCTCTTGAATCCCTCCCTTTCGACGTCGGCGACAACGAGGTCGTCAGCGGCGGCGCCCTCCGCGGCGGCCTGCTTGCACTCCTCGCCGGGGATGCAGCAGAGGCCGCCCGCCCCGTCCTCCGCAAGGCAGTCCACGCGCCGCCGCTTGCCGTGCACAGAACAGACCTGCCCCGCCCCCCCCCCCGAGCGAGGATCGAGGATCGAAAGATCGAGGATCGACCTCCTCCTTCCTCCCTCCTCCTCCCACCCTTCCTCCCATTTCCCTTCCTCTTGCTCCTCCTTTTCATCTTCCTCCTTATCCTCTTCCTCTTCCTGTTCCTATGCCTCTTCCTCGTCCTCTCCCTCCTCCTCCTTCTCCCTACCTCCCTCCTCCCCCCTCCCTCCTCCGTCCTCCCTCCTCCTCCCTCCCTGCCTACCTTTTCCCTCCGTCCCTCCCCCCCTCCCTCCCTCCTCCCTTCTCCCTCCTCCCCCCCTCCCTGTTCCCTTCTCCTTCCTCCCTCCTCTCTCCTCCCTCCTCCCTCCTCCCTCCTCCCTCCCCCCTCCATCCTTCCTCGCTCCTGCCCCGAAGAGAAGGGGGTCGGGGGTAGGACGCGCCTGAAACCACTGACACTCAGAGGGCTGACAGCATTCCAGACCTCCTAGGAATACCAGGAAGGCTTGAGGATGTGTGGCATGTTTTCGCCATCGGTGGAGCCAGGCGCATCCAGGACCAGCATACATGCTTTGTGGTATGCGTAAGTACCACACCCAGATCCCAAGCTAAGTCCAAATTGGTGCAGGGCCTGGATACCATAAGTTGCACCTTTCACTGTTTGGTGCAGTAGCCTATGCTATCAAGACTCGAGTGGACGTGCTTGCAGCCATCCGTGAATTTCAGTCCTCCGCCTCCTTCTCTCCTCTTCCATCATTTTCCTCCGTTTTCCTCCCGTCCCTCCCGTCGGAAGAGGCCCGAGAGGAGCAGTGCGAAGGTGACCTCCGGGGCATCCCAGCGCGTCCCCTCCCCCCCCTCCCGTCGGAAGAGGCCCGAGAGGAGCAGTGCGAAGGTGACCTCCAGGGCATCCCAGTGCTTCCCCTCCCCCCCTCCCGTCGGAAGAGGCCCGAGAGGAGCAGTGCGAAGGTGACCTCCGGGGCATCTCAGTGCGTCCCCCCTCCCTCCCCTCCCCCTCTCTCCAGATGGTGGGCCCTCCCCCCCTCCGTACCCACGATGGCTCGATCCTTTTCGGGTCTGTGGGCCGTCTCGTGAAGCCCATCCGGCCGCCTGTGGAGCCGATGTGGATGGTGCAGTGGCGACGGTGGACGCGGGGGCGAAGGCGGCGGCTGCGGTTGAGGCGGTGGTGTCGGCGGCTTGGGGGGAGACGGAGGCGGACGGCGGCGGCAGAGTGCGTGTTAGGCGAATAGTGGCGGCGGAAGTGATGGTGGAAACGGGGGCGGAGGCGTCACTTCGGACATCCTGCGGAATACACTTTAGGCCGGGGTCACGTCGATAAACATATCCGAAGGGACAGAGGCACTCCTCTTGGCCGGCACGTGCTTTAGCCCAGCGGGCGGTAGCAGATCAGGGACCGTGTGCATCGCGGTTTTGGGGCAATACCAGTTTCAGCTAGCGAGCTCAACGCAGGGAGTATACCCGGCAGGCTGACGTTCACACGTTCGTGCGGGGACACCTCCCTCACGAATACGTTGCTGATCATATAGTGCGGCCCTCTTGGGGCAGGTGCTAGGTCAGTTGACATTTCGGCAGCGGCACGGGCGCTTCTCATGGTGGGCATGTGCTTTGCCTTTTCGGGTGGTAGCAACTCAAATACTGTTTGATTTCCAGGCTAGGGGAAGAACCAGATGCAGCCAATGAGGTCCGCGCAGTCCTCATACCCCGCTGAGTCAACGCATTCGCATTTGGAATGAGTTCCCTCCTCTTCGAGTATTTCACGTGCAGCCTCCACAAGGCAGGAGACATGTCAATAGGCAATGCAGCAAGGACTGCGGCACCCCTCCTGGTGGGCACGCGTCCTACCCCAGCGGGCTGTTGCAACTCAGATATGGTTGGGATCGCGGGCGTGAGGCACGATCAGATGCTGCCAGTGAGCTCCACGCATTTCGTGTACCCCGCCGAGTCAATGTTCACTCTGCCGAAAGCCGTCACCTCTTTCTCGGCTACGCCGCTTTCCGTTACGGGCGGCCTCCTTGCTGCAGGGGCCACGACCATAGGCTCTCCTCCCCCTCGAGTTCGCTGGGATGCCGTCTTCCAGCTGTGCCTCCCCGAGAGCCCGGGTGAGTCTAGCTCGCCCTTTCCGTGTCTTCCGGGGGTGTCTGTCCCAGGGGGTGGGCTGGGGGCCCCGGGAGCGCCAGGTGTCTGGGCGGCTGGACGCAGAGGCCAGGCTCTTTGGTGACGTCCGGTTTTGGGCGCCGGCTGTCGGTTTCCTGGGGGCTTCCTCGTCGCCACGGCTGGACGCTGCTGGCGGAGCTGGTGTGCTTGGTCCCGGGGGGGGTTTTTTGGCTTGGTGGTCTTTTCCGCCTTGCTTTCTTCGTGGGGGCCCCCGGCAGCTTGCTGGAGGCATTCTCGTCGCCACAGCCGGGCGCAGCTGGGGAAGCTTGTGCGTTCTGGGCCTCTGGTAGGGCAAGGGGTGCTTTTTGGCAGGCCTGCGGAAGTCTTCTCCGCCCTGCCTTGCTCGTGGGGATCTGCTCGCGCCTTGGGGATAGGTGATGCTAGTCTCTCTTTGCTAGAGCTGGTGCGCTCGGATCTCCTGCGGTACCCTGCCCCGCGTGTTTCCTCTCATCTCCCCGAGCCCCTCTTTGAGCGAACGTGTTTTTTTCGTCTCACCGCGCCGACTGTGCAGCGGCATCAAGTACGCCATCATTTGCCGAACCTCTGTTCCCCTCCCCTCCCCGTCTCCTGGTGGGCGTTCGCGCGCTGCCGCTGGTCACGGTGTCTCCAGTAGGTATGCCTTTTGGGGCATTGCGCTGACGTCCACGGTTGCTTTCGCTGTCCAGGGCTGCGCCCCGCCGAGAGTTTTCCGGGGGCTATCCTGTTTGTCCCGGTGACCTCCGAAGGTCCTTTGTCGGCCGCCCCGGATGATCCGCATTCCCTCGCATTCGTATTTTCTGAGTCGGGGGCAACCGCCCTCCTCGTGGCTATCTCTGCGCGTAGCAGCGTGTGAAGACGCCTATCGCCATCACGCGATTTTCCCCCGTTTTCCTTCCCCCCCCCTTTCCCCTCGCTTCTCGTCCGCCCCCTGTTCCCTTATCCCTGCTCCTGCCAGCAGAGGCCATCCGAGGCCAGCTCAGGCCAGCCCCGACCAGCCCAGGCCAGCCTGTGCCAGCCGCGACCAGTCCGGGCCAGCCGAGGCCAGCCCGGGCCAGTCGAGGCCAGCCCAGGCCAGCCGAGGCCAGCCCAGGCCAGCCTTCCTTTTCTCCCTCCTCCCTCCTCCCTCCTCCCTCCTTCCTCCTCTCGTTCTCTCTCCCTTCCCTTCCTCTCCCCGTCCTCCTCCTGTTCCTGCTTCTCTTGCTCTCTTCCTCCTCGTCCCCGTTTTCGTCCTTGTCCTCCCTCTCCCCTGCTGCGCTGTGTTGGTTTCCTGGGGCGGTGGCCCCTGGGGGGATCTCTCGTTGCCACGGCGGGGTGCGGCAGGGAAAAACTGCGTCTTGGCTCCGGGGGGGGGCCTGGTTCGGGGTCCTGCCCTCTTCTGTCCGTCCTCCCCCTTCCCTTCCTTCCCTCCCCTGTCGTTGCCGCCGCCGCCGTCGCCGCCGCCGCCGGCGCCGCTGCCGCCGCCGCCGCCGCTGCCGCTGTCGTCGTCGTCGTCGTCGTCGTCGTCGTCGTCGTCGTCGTCGTCGTCGTCGTTGTCGTCGTCTTTCGTTGTCGTCGTCGTCGTCGTCGCTGGCCGGGCCCCGGGGCTGCAGTGCGAAGGTGACCTCTGGGGCATCCTAGCGCCTCCCCTCCCTCCCTTTTCCAGTGGACGAGCCCAGATGGGGGGCGAGGCTCGGTGCGAAGAAGTCCCCTGGGGTCTCGTAGCGCTACCCCCGCCCTCCAGACAGGTGATGATGGCGAGAAGCCGTGCGAAAATGGCCCTGGACATCCCAGCACACTTTCTCTGAGTGCATGATTTCTGTTCAGGTCTTGTCTAGAGGGGAAGTGTGTGTCGAGGACCCCCAGATCTTCCTAGCCCCTCGCCATCTCAGGGGGTGCAGGGTTCTCCCACCTGATGGAAGCTAGGAGCGAAGAAGTTTCCAGGGCTCCCCGTCCACTCCTCCGTCCAGACTCAGCCGCCTTCGCCCTCGCCCTGCCGTCTCCGGCTGCTTAGTGCGTCCTGGCCCCAAGGGGGTTAGGTGGGACTGAGGCCGCGGAAGTGGGTCGGGAGCGGGGGCTGGGAGCGGATCCGGATGGTCTCCACCACCCACGCTGGCAGACTGCGGTATGCCTTGCAAGGACTGGATGGTTGACCCCAGGGCGGATCCCTTTTACAGCTCCCTGTCCGCACTCACATGCGCTCACTCGGGAAACCCCTGGTGCAAGGTGGGATGCCCTCCATCCCCTGCTCCCCCTGGAGATCGCCAGGGAGGTGGGGGGGCCCCTCCTTCCATCGGAGCTGTTGTCCCCTGTGCGCGGATGTGGGAGCCGACTGAGGTCAGGCCGCGGCTGGTCCACCTCCCGGCTGCCCTCGGGGTGCTGTCCCTGCAGCCCTCAAAGAATGCCCACAGAGGCCACCAGCCAGCCTCCTCTCTCCTCCCTCCTCCCTCCTCCCTCCTCCCTCCCCCCTCCATCCCTCCTCGTTCCTCCTTCTTCCCTCCTGCCTCATGCCTCATCCCTCCTCCTCCTTCTTCTCTCCTCTCTCCTCCCTCATCCCTCATCATCCGCCTCCGCCTGCGCCTCCAGTTCCTGCTCCTCCTCCCCCTCCTCCTCCTCCATCCTCCTCCCATTCTTGGCATTATTCGTATTATCTGGATTACTATATCATTAGTATGACCCGTATGATGAGTAGTCTTAAGGTTATGTTATGTTTCGTCGTATTAGTAGTCGTGTTTGTGTTAGTCATGATATTCATACGTTCCGTAGTAGTCGTATTTGCATGAATCGTATGCTTTTTGAGAAATTAGTATGTTATTACTAATTGTGTTAGTGTGAGCACTATGTATCATTAGTGTATGACTCGTCTTATGTACATTGAAAATATGATGATCATTATTCCTGATAACGATGATGATTATTGTTACCATGATGATTGTTACTTTTGTCATGACTAGTATCAATAGTGTAACTAACATTGTTATTAGTATTATTCCACCTCCTCCTCCTCCTCCTCCTCCTCCTCCTCCTCCTCCTCCTCCCGTCCCCCTTCCCCTACCCCTCCACCTCCCCCTCCTCCATTTTTTCCTCCTCCTCCTCTTCATCCTCCCTCCTCCTCCTCCTCCTCCTCCTCCTCCTCCTCCTCCTCCTCCTCCTCCTCCTCCTCCCCCCCTCCTCCTCGTCCTCCTCCTGATTCCTGATCCTGATGGCGTGGGGAATCGTCGACTGTCACCCCCCCTGTAGGGCCGGTCAGCCCGGTGGGGGGGTGACAGCCTGGTCACTATCGTGACTGGCTGTGGCACGCATATGTAAAGTAAGAGCAAAGATGCCAGACATAACGAGTGAGGAGGAGACATCGAGAATCATAATCAAATTCCGAGGGTGGCTGTGCGGCGCGGGACGGACAGACATATGGGGACGAGAAGAGAGGATGACGAAGGATCATGCCTAGAAGGGGAGAAAAATTAGGGACATCCTCCTCCTCCTCCTCCTCCTCCTCCTCCTCCTCTCCTCCTCCTCCTTCTCCTCCTCCTCCTCCCCCCCTCCCTCTCCCCTTCCCCCTTTCCCCGTCTCTCCCCCCCACCCCCTCCCCCTTCCTTTCCCCCTCCCTCCTCCCACCCCCCCCATCCCTCCTCCCCCCTCCATTCCTTTTCCTTGTGCATGACTCCTCCCTGTCGCACCCCGAAGCCGGTCGAAAGGGCGGGCCGGGCGGTTCGCCTGAGACTACATCACCATTTACGATCCCGAAGCTTTAAAAATTACAACCCCTTAACGGATTGAGGGCAGGTGGTTTTCAAAATGTGGCTCTCGCCTCATCGCCGCGCACACTCGTCTTAAAAATGTGCAGCAGTTTCGCGGATGGAAGGCGGATCGCTTCCACTGTGTGGCTCTCGCCTTAGCGCCGCGTGCGTTCGTCTTAAAGTGTTGCAAGAGTTTCATACATGGAGGGCGGCTCCTTTTCAGAATGTGCCTCTCGCCTTAGCGCCTTAAGAGTTTACAGCAGATTCAAACACTGTATGGTTGAAATCGTCCCAGAAATAGCGTCTTGGTATTGCGTCGAAATGACACGGCGCAACAGCCACGTTGATTCGCGGCATTGATGTCCCTGGAACGGTGTTCTGGCACGAATCAGGATCGTCAAGACGCAAACGTAACGGTGATTCGCGGCACTGATTCCCCAGGAATGGTGTTATGGCGCAGTTCCCGACGGTTGTCTTCCAACGGGGCACTTCCTTCGATGAAAAAGAATACTTGTCGGGGCCGATGAAAAAGAAACTTGGAAGGAGAGTATAGGTTGCAAGATCGTTGATGGGTCGTGGGATTACACTGGTCCTCCTCCTCCTCCTCCTCCCCCTCCTCCTCCCCCTCCTCCTCCTATTCCTCCTCCTCCTCGTCCTCGTCCTCCTCCTCCTCCTCCTCCTCCTCCTCCTCCTCCTCCTCCTCCTCCTCCTCCCCCCCCCGCCGCCCGCCGAGACCTGCATGGCTGCGGGGACTCGCCGAGGAAGAGGCGCGGCCACCACCACAGCAGCAAAAAAAAAACTCGCCCCTCCAGGTCTCGGACCCTGCCGCGTGGCGGCCTGGGCCAAGACGGCTCAAGGCGGGCGGGGAGGGCGAGGGGGGCGAAGGAGAGGGGGCGCAGAAGAGGGCAGTCGGTGGAGCCCCCTCTGGGGCAAGACCTGTGCCTCCCCGTTGCCCAGGCCATACAGCTTCTGGCTCACCACCTGCGCCGCGCTGTGACTGCACAGCAGTGGAGGTGTTGCGCAAAACAGGCGGTGTCTTGCCACTGCGCAGACCGCACAGCGGCAAGCGGGCACGCCGAGAGGCCTCGGGGACAAGACGGCTCGAGGCGGATGGGGAGGAACCATGAACGAAGGCGCGGGTACAGCAAGGCGTGTCGGACGCAGAAAGGGGAGCGACCTCTTATATGGGCCACGAGGCGCGCGAGGAGAGTGCCAGAATTGGTGCGGGGCGCCACGCGAAGGGTGCCATTCGTGCATTCGGTGGAGCTCCCTCTGGGGCCACGAAACGTGTGAGGTGTGCCGAAATGGATGCGGGGCGGCCGCCATGCGAACGCTGCCACTGACGAGGGGGGGGGGCGAAGGAGAGGGGACGCAGGAGAGGGGAGGAGGCGAGGGACGAGGGAGGGATGACGAGGGAGGAAGCGGTGGTGGGCACAAGCATCAGCAGGTCCACTGCACGCCGACCGGCGGCCGCAGGGCGCCCCACTCGCGGCGGGCACAAGCCTGCTTCATCCTGATGCCGCCCACGGGAGCTCCTCCTCCCGATGATTTCCCGGGGGAGGAGGGGCCAGAACTTGAAAGCGAGCCCCTGGGCTGCCCGCGGAGCTGCTTTTTGGATACCTCCATCCACGGGGGAGGGGAGTGAGGGACGGATGGACGGAAGGACGGAGGGAGAGAGGAGGAAGGGAGAATGAGGAGGAGGAGGAGGAGGAGGAGGAGGAGGAGGCGGCGGAGGCGGAGGAGGGAGGAGGCGCAGGGTGTTCAGGAGTTTGGAGGAGGCGCAGCAGCAGCAGGAGAGAGGGAGGGAAGGAAAAGTGGGAGGGAGGAAGAGGGTGATGAAGGGAGACGGAGGAGCAGGAAGAGGGAGGGGGAAGAGCGAGAGACAAGGGCAGGATGAGGAAGACAGGCCAACCCCTCGTCCTCCTCATCCTCCTCCTTCTACTCCGCCTCCTCCTCCTCCTCCGGAAGGGGAGGAAGCCGAGGAGGACCAGCAGGAGGGGAGCGGGCGCAGTGGGGCGCGGGAGGAGGCGGACCGAGGACGGCTCTCTTGGCGAGCTCATGGCGGAGGACGAAGACGACAGCGAGGCTCGACGCCGAGGCCAGACGGACGACGGCGAAGAAGGCGACGATGGACGAGGACAGGGGGCGACGACGAAGAGGAATGGGGAGGGGGGGGGGAAGGAGGTGGAGCCCCGCTGCGGCCAAAAACCAATGGCCGCCGGAGATGAAGTTCCCCCTCCCACTTCAAATCCTCGGCACCTCACGAAAACGGGGGCGCCAGCGAGAGTGCTGCTGGAAGAGGGAGGAGGAGGAGGAGGAGGTGGAGGAGGTGGAGGAGAAGGAGGAGGAGCAGGAGAAGGAGGAGGAGGAAGAGGAGGGCAGGGCAGGGGTGGGGAGGAGGGGAAGGGGAGGGAGAAGGTGCGACTAGGCCCAGGGTGCGCACGCGTGACGAGAGACCCCCGTCGCGCTAGGAGGGGACTGGGAGGAAAAGCGAGGGGCAAGCGGCGTGAGGAGGGACGGACGGACGCAGGAATGGAGCAAGGAGCGGGATGACGGCGCAGGAAGGAGCAGCCGAGAGGAAGATGGGGTTGGCAAATGGGGGGATACGTACGGCGATGGCGAGAAAGGGTTGCCGGGAGAGGGAGGAGGGGGACTTCCGCAGAAAGGGGAGGAGAACAGCGGTGATGAGGGGGGGGCAGAGGAGCGGGGGGATAGACACGAGGGGAAAGAAGGAGAGGGGAAGGGAGGGAGGATGACGAGGAACAGCAGGAGAACATTGCTTACTGCAGCGATGGAGGAGGAGCCTGCTCGAGATCTGCCTTGCTCTGGACGAACATCTCGTTCTGGTCCTTGCGCACCTCTGGGAGCTGGTCTCATCCCTCCTCCTAAGCCTCCTCCCCCCCCTCCCTCCTCCTCCCTCCTCCTTCCACCTCCCTCCTCCCTCCCTCCCTTCCATCCTCCCTTCCTCCCTTCCTCCGCCTCCGCCTCCTCCTCCTCGTCCTCCTCCTCCTCCTCCTCATCCTCCTCCTCCTCCTCCTCCTCCTCCTCCTCCCTCCCTCCCTCCCTCCCTCCCTCCCTCCCCTCCCTTCCCTCCTCCCTCTCCTCCTCCCTCCTCCCTCCTCCCTCCCCCCTCCTCCATCCGCCCTCCGCCCTCCCTCCTCCCTCCCCCCCGCCCCCTCCTTCCTCCTCCTCCCTCCGCCTCCGCCCTCCGCCCTCCGCCCTCCGTCTCCTCCTCTCCCTCCTCCCTCCTCCCTCTCCCTCCTCCTCCCTCCTTTCCTCCCTCCTCCTCCTTTTTCCCTCCCTCCCTCCTCCCTCCCTCCCTCCCTCCCTCCCTCCGCTCCCTCCCTCCCTCCCTCCCTCCCTCCCCTCCCTCCCTCCTCCCTCCCTCCCTCCCTCCGCCCTCCTCTCTCCTCCTCCTCCCTCCTCCTCCTCCTCCTCCTCCTCCTCCTCCTCCTCCTCCCTCCTCCTCCTCCCTCCTCCTCCCCTCCTCCTCCTCCTCCTCCTCCTCCTCCTCCTCCTCCTCGCCTCCTCCTCCTCCTCCTCCTCCTCCCTCCTCCTCCTCCTCCTCCTCCTCCTCCTCCTCCTCCTCCTCCTCCTCCTCCTCCTCCTCCTCCTCCTCCTCCTCCTCCTCCTCCTCCTCCTCCTCCTCCTCCTCCTCCTCCTCCTCCTCCTCCTCCTCCTCCTCCTCCTCCTCTCCTCCTCCTCCTCCTCCTCCTCCTCCTCCCTCCTCCTCCTCCTCCTCCTCCTCCCCTCCTCCTCCTCCTCCTCCTCCTCCTCCTCCTCCTCCTCCTCCTCCTCCTCCTCCTCTCCTCCTCCTCCCCCTCCCCTCCCCCTCCTCCTCCTCCTTCTCCTCCTCCTCCTCCTCCTGCTCCTCCTCCTCCCTTTCCTCCTCATCCTCCTCCTTTTCCGCCTCTTCCTCTTCCTCCTCCTCCTCCTCCTCCTCCTCCTGCTGCTGCTGCTGCTGGTCCCTCCTCATCCCTCCTCCTCCATTTCTTTTCCTTGTGAATAACTCATCCCTGTCGCAACCCGAGGCCAGTCGGAAGGGCGGGCCGGG